TTAAAAGACATTCTTAGTGACTCTTACAGAAATTATCTTTTTCTGTGCAAAAGACAACCCAAGACAGTAGTTTGATTACAAACAAAGGGGTATGTGCTCTGGTAATATATGCTTGATAATAACAGAATGAAGAAGGAAACAGTATAATTAATTGTACCATTCACTCATGGATTGAAAGGAAAATTAACCATTTTGGTATAAAACAAAGCTAACGCCTTCTTTTCACCAGGGGTTCTATAAGCCTTAAATATTCAACAGCTTTAAGCATAATGTGCCTTTTTCATGTTAGACTCATCTTCCTTACAACCCTTCGAGCAGTTTGGATGCTTGTGCCAGCTCTCCAAACTGACAACTCTTGCCTGGCTGAAAGGACTCAGGGGATTCAGATGAAAAATTTAACTTCTGATCTCCATCATTCCTTGACAGAAAAAGTGAACTTTTAGCCATTACCAAAACTGGAAAAGATAGCCTAGAATTTAATACACATAAGAGGAATGAGAGAACCTTGGTATATGCCCTGGCTTGACAGAAATGGGCTCTGCCTTTCAGTGACATGAACCAATTTTTCTAATGACTATAATTTTGTTACTGCTCTGCTTGAGAAAATTGCACCACTCTGACTTGATATTTAAAACTGTAGCTAGGCCAAAAAAAGATGAGTCTAAGAGTTTTGTGGAATTAATACTTTTGAAATTACATCTCTAGTATTATAGTAAGGAATTCCTAGGTGCTGGAATTATCTGGAAGACAATCTCTGACACTGTAGTCTTTGTTCACTATCTTATTATTGTTCTTTCTGAGCCTCGAGATCTCTTGGAGTTTTTGTTTTAGGTTTGGTTTTGGGTTGGTTTTGTTTTTTTTCTTAACTGAGGTACCAGTTATTAAATACATGCAACATATCTGGAAGAAGGTAGACAAAAGTGGTATCAACAAAAATAACATGTATAAAATATTTATTGTAAACAAAACAATTTCGTGCAAATGTTAAGAACAAAGGCTTCTGTTTTTTTAAAAATGCCACGACTTTGTAAGATGTAAAACTCACCAAATCCAGTCAGTAACAGTCCACAAATAGTCCACTCAAGCCAGATACATAATTGGCTTTGATTTTTCCTGCAGAGTGGAACTTCAATCTCTGCGGTTTCATGTTGGCTCTTAAGATCTATTTTTTAATACCTCTGATGTAGGAAGGTAAAGAATGACCCAACAAAATGGAAACAGAGCTGCAGCAGCATCAGGCCCACCTCTGTCAACTCCTCAGGCCCCCAGGGTGTGATCTCCAGCCAGCAGTGGGGCCCCTACCAGCCATGGGAACAGCTCTCTCTTCTCTACCCAGGCCGTAAAAACTAGGCATGGGCTGTTCCTCCAGGCGGTGGAATTCCTTAAGGTGGAAGTGAGTTGCCAGTTTGTTCACCATCCTTTTCAGAGTGACAAAGGCTGTGATGACTTGGAAGGCAAGGAAGAAGGCAAAGACAATGTGCACTGCTCGCTCCAGAGGCTGGATTTTCAGACCTTCATTAAACAGCAAGAAAAGAATTATGGGCAACTGCAGGAGGAGACTCAGGAGCCAAAACCCAGCCAGCTCAGGGACCTATAATAGGGAGACATCACCTATTAAAAACCTGGTAGCCGGAGATGAAAAAATCCAAAATCCTATGAAGAAAAAACTCTGGGTTTTTTAAATTTTTTTAAAGGACGGAACATAATGTGAAAAATCAGAGTGAGGTGGCTTCATGTTTTCATATACCATGTTTTTAAGCATACTTATATTTTCTGACAAAACAGTTTTAGAGAGTGAGAGGGCTCTCTTCTGAGGGAAAACTTCCTGGAATTCACAAAATTAAGTGGAAGCCAATGCCAAGGGAATAGAAGATGCAAACTGCAACTTAAGAGAAATAAACATCTCCTCAACTTAAATCTCTTCAACAAAATGTCTACCAGTTAAACTCCAAAAAGCATTCCTGCAGAAATTAATATATACATTTGGCAACATACTTTCTCCTGGAGATTGCCCATGTATCCCAGGTAGAGTCGAATGGCCTCTATCAGAGAAGCCAGGATCATGATGGTGACCAGGATGAACTTGTAGTAATCTGACAAGTCTGGATACTAGAGGGAAAGAAGAGAGTAAAAGTTTCCGCTGTGCTGTTTGTGATTTAATGAAGATACTGTATGCTACTGTAAGCTGACAATGTTATATTGGCATTCAAACACTTTTGAACCTCCAGTTGCAGGGAATTCCCAAATAAAGGTAATAAGCTCTAACTCCAGTGAGCTGTATCTCCTGTTAGGTGTTTCATGTAATATACATTTGCAAACCAACACTTTCCTTCACACTCACCTTCAGATAGAGTATGACAACTGTGCAGAGCCACCAAAAAGGGAAAAAATAAACGTTGAAATAGAGGGACATCTGCAGTGGCAAACTGGAAACTATTTCATGATCTGTAGAGAGAAAGAAGACTTTATCATTCCTGGTTTGTTCCATACTTCCATAAACATGACAGAAGAATACTGCTCCATCTTAGCTTCATGCATTAACACTCCAGTCAAATTAAATGTTAGGACAAATATTTTTAATTATCCAGAGGAAATCTTCTTACCCTATCTGGAGTGACACCATTTCCTGGAATCTAATGCACCTTTTGCTTCACGGGACACCAAATTTTTATGACTTAGTCATATATTCCAGTTGAGTGTCCAACTGCTGATTACCTGGTAGCTTAAGGATTACTCCATGATCTCTGACTGAGGCTTAGCTCAAGTGGTGCTGTACACTGACACTGCAGAAAGAGTTAGTGGTTATTTCACTGCAGGTCCCAAGTTTAAATGAGCACACACTGGATTATCAGTATTTTGTAGATGACCCCCCTGAGTAAGGACTTACTAGTAGACAGTAGGTTTTCATTGCCCATTCTTCATTTGCAATCTTTTATTTAAATAGACATTTGGATGGAAGCCAGTAATCTGCCTAGTTCTTAAAAGCTAAAAATTTCAAATATGTGTCAAACTAAAACTTATGCTTTAAAATCTGTAGAGAAAAAAAATGCATTCAGACAATGCAATGTAGAGAAAAGCAAATATGAGATGTCAAGATGCAGACAGTAAATTGCATATTTACGATTTTGTAATAGACCTACAAGATGAGACTTAAGAAAAAAAATTTAAAAGGGCATTCTAAGGGAATCATTAATTTTTAATGGGTGGAGTTTTACTGCTGTATTCTAGTAAACTGATATTGCATCCACTTTGCTTCCCAAATGAAGTCTGTAGCCACATATTCACTTGGTACTACCTGAGCAAGTTTAGAAAGTATTGACTGTGATCTGCTGATTTGTATTCAACTCCTGTGCCCATCTGCCACAGTGGTGATGTCTGATTGAAAGTTTGTCCAAACAGTCACACTGCCTCCCTTCCAGCCTCAGAACTACCTCTCTTCTGACGCTGCCTTCCCCTTTCAGATCTTCCAACCACTCATCTTTGTTCCACCCCAGTCTGGCATTTCTGTCCATCCTGGTACAGTCTTTATGCCAGGATATATATTTAATAATCCCATTTTTAAGCATCAACACTTCCTTACATCTGCAAAGGAATTAAAATCTATACGTACCTTAAAAACAGTTTCACCATCTACCTAAAATTGTCCCAGCTGTCCTAACACAGGAGTCTCTTGGACATGAAGATTACTTCAGTGGTCACCAAGATATAATTCTAAAACGCTGTTTTATCTTTCAAAAAAAGCATGACCATAATTGCAAGTGACTATGCTTCTGCCCTATATGTATTAGATAAAATTGTATTGGTTCATGGCCACATTAGTTAAAAAAGAGAAGCCAAGAACTCTAATTTCAATTGTCATGATAATGTTTAGGTAATGTTAAAGGTTTCATTGACACAGTATTGCTATTTGGAATTTCCATGCAAGTTCTAAAACTCTGTTTTGGATGAATATTTAGCAGTATAAGCCAACTCTACTTAATTTTTCTATCCTTAAATTGAATTAATGCTTATTTTCTGGGATTGCTAAAATTAATGGAAAAGCCGGGCAGTATTGCCATAGCCAGTTGCTAGAGAAACTCATTAAGGTATATATGTGTAAACTTAATTTTTGAAATCCCGATGTCCAAGAATTTAATGGCACATTTGCAACTGGGTTTCAGTGGACTGGACACTCACAAAGGAGTTTTCATAATGGGAAATGGAAAAGAAATTACTAAAGATTGAAGCTATTCCTGGAGTGTTGTTTGATAAATGAAATGAAGAAACTAGTAAATGTTAGCAGTGTAACTACATAAAGAAAATCACAGAATATTCTGAGTTGAAAGGAACCCACAAGGATCACCGAGTCCAGCCCTTAAGCGAATGGACTGTATGGGGATCATGACCTTAGTACCACACTCTAACTAATTGAGCTAATTACTTTCTGATTAATTTGATCAGCTTGGAACGGATTTATCAGCCGAAATTAATACGGCCTTTCTATGCAGACACATTGTGTGTATTCTCGCTCTGGAGACACGAAAAGAGGGCGCGGTGGCCTGCAAAGTTTCACTGGCAGTACGATGAAGGAACAGCTGGCGGTCGCCACGGCAGACACGGGCAATTCCAGAGAAAGCTGGCAGGGAAACCAGCCGCATCCCAGCGGCGCCTCTGCCGGGCCCGCGATCCGGCACCGGCCCCTCAGCCTTCCCGCCCCATCCTCCTCCTCTTCCTCCGCCCCGGGGCTCTCCCGTGCCCGCCGCGGTACCTGCGCCGTCCCCTGGGCACCGCGGGCCGGGCCGGGCGGTGTCGGTGAACACGGCGCGGCTGAAGGAGCCGAGCCCCCGCCTCAGGGGCTCGGGCAGCGCCATGATGGCGGGGCCGCGGAGCGCAGGCCCGGGAGCTCTCCCGGATTTGGGGCGGGGAGCGGAGCGGGAATTTTCCAAGGGTTGAGGCGGGGACAGCGGTGCCTCCGCCCCGGACACGGTGCTGTGGAGCGCACCCGGGGCGCGGTGGGCGCCGAGCCCGGCGGTGTCCCTGTGCTCGGAGCCCCCAGACCCGAGCGTCTCCCCTCAGTCCTGACGCTGCTTTTCGTCTTTTCCGATCAATCAGAGGGAATTTCCCCATTCCTCCCCGTCCCCATAGTCTGCGAGGGCAGGGTGTGGGCTTTCTGAAAAAGTAACTGCTGTAAAACCGCTCCGCATCTATCCAGATAAATCCGGGGCAATGATGGTCCTCGATGACGGCTGGAGAGTGAAATAAGGGCGAACATTCTGTGTTGTTACTTGAAGTGAGTGTGAATGACTAGTTTTATGATAGATGCAGGTGTAACTGAACCAGAAAATACCTTTTTCCTCAAGGAAATCCGTGCGTATTACTCTGAAGTGAAAAGCTGCGGTGAGATTGACACAGTCATTCTATCCTAGTCAGCTTTTGTCACTTACAGGAGGTCCTTATGGAATGACAAGAAGTTAATAATGGAAAACCAACTTCTGCTTGTTCTTTTATTTGGAAAATGCAGTCGCCCTAAAAATGGGGTAATCTGCTCACCAGGCCTTTTGGTCCCCCAAGGGCCTGATTCCTTCTGAGGAGAAAGGATGCCATTCCTAAGCGTGCAGGATATTATTTTCTGTGTGACCAGAATGAAAGAGCAGCTTGTGCCTTTTACTGTGGGAACCAGTAGTATTTGTGATTTTTCTGTACCTAATATGACACAGAATTATAGGATGGTTCGGGTTGGAAGTGACCTGAAAGACCATAGTGTTCCAAGCCCCCTGCCGTGCGCAGGGACATCTTCCACTGGACCAGACTTGTCGACTCACTCCTCCTGCCCCCACCCCCGCCTCAAATCATGTTTAGCTACTTCCCTGGGTGATCGTTCTCCAGTATGACTTTCCAAACTCAATTATCTCAGAGTAAATAATTTAAAGCCTAGTTTATATTTAATTTCATTCTGTCCCACTGGGAGAACTACAGAGAAAGATGGCTAAACAAGCAGGAGTTCTGAGAAAACCATTTGGCTTTTGAGCTGATGAATGGTGTGGTATTGACAACAGATACTTTTCAAAGAACTTCCATATGTGGGTATGCCAGCAGGAATCTACATTAAAAAAAAATCAAAAACACAACGACAACAAAAAAAACCAACTTCAGAAGAAATTAAGATAAAACAATTTTTAAATAATGTCAGCAGACTGAAAGGGGGAAGGAATTAAACATATGCCAGAATTTCAAGGGATGCTGTGCCCCTTAGAGGCAGGAAGGGCAGTGGGCTTTGCTGTGTGGCTGTTCCTAGAAAACAAAGTTATAAGCCGAGGTGAGGGTTATCCCTATTTTGCAGCTAAGACCGAACAAGAAAAGTTGAGCCCTGTGAAACGCTGTTTGCAGTTTGTCTTGAAACCTAGAGAAAAAGGCATGTGATTCAGCATCCTGGACATAAGCAGGCAGGTAAGTCATCCAATGAAAAACACTCCTTAAAATGTATCGAAACATCAGGTGAAGGAAAAACAGTGATGTGGCTTTCGTCATGTGAGATGTGTCTGTACAGCAGTGACCACAGCTCAGCAATGCTACCTTGTTTATGTTTGAGCTAGGTAGATTAGGTTTGCTGGCAAGACATCTCTACAAGCAAATATTTTAGTAGAAGTAAAAAGTTAAGAGTTTTTTTCAGCTGTTTTTGACCTGGCTCTGTCTTAAACTATGAGGCTTCCCCCATGATCAGCACAGTGACTGTGTTGCCTGGGCTAATGAGCCTGTTTGTGGAGGGGTAAAGCAATGCCAAGCTGCAGTCAGAGACATACATGTCATATGCTGTGTCCTGGCCAGGTGTGGACCTCAAAGCTCTGAGCTGTGCAGGCACTGGGCTTACACTGCAGTTTCAATCACAAAATTCTGTGAGTGGATACTTGGTAATTGGTGAACTACCTAATAAATAATAGAAGAGTTTAAGGATCACTTTGATAAAACTGTATGAAAACCAGCATTAATGTTAGATGGATTTCTGAACTTCAGAAAGTGCAGTCTGTATTTGTTATCTTGCCATTTGCTAGTACGTGCTGGAAGTTATTTCCTGTCTGGCTCAACAACTGTATGGTGTATGCACTGTTTAGCCAAAATCACCATAAAAGTCTCTGTTATAGATAGTGGAAGGGTGATGAATCTGCAAGATTTCCAAAGACATTGCCTGAAATTTTGTTTTACTGTTGTTGCCTTGGTCCTGACCCAGTTAACCACGAGCACTGGGAAATGCTCATCCCATACACTCAACTATTTAGACACAAGAAAGAGGTTTATATGAATTAGAAGTATGGCAGAGTTTTGATTAAGTCAGATATTCATGGAAGTCTCAGGTTTTTTTCATCGCGTGAGTTGATGGCCTGTAAAAGTTCAGCCTTTAAGGATTTTCCTTTTAATTACTTTTTCAGAATGAAAGGTGGAAGAATTTTCACTTTTCTGGCCTTTTCCTGATGACAGTGGCTTTGACTGGGGGCCCTGATCTCCCAAACACTGATTGTCTTATGTTCCTCAATTCTGAAAACCTTCAAGCATACAGTCAGGTATCCTGCCAGCAGCTCTGCAGCAGTCAATGCTTTTGCAATACCGGGCTCTGCTCATTTCAAAACTGTGAAGCAATCCAGCTTAGCAGTCAGCAGAGTGTAAAACTGAATAGTAGGTAAGTGAAAGGCTAATGGCATGCAGACACCACAAGAAATGTATGGATTTGCCATGTAAACTCAATTTGCAGGCTCAAGGTGTGACTCTGTGATATTTGGCAGCCGTACATTTTCAACAGATGGCCAAGCATCCTTCACGTCCCCACAAAATAAAGTTGTGCATTCTTTTGTTTAATGTTTTTGTCTAACAGACACTTAAAATATTCCTTGAAGATATACTCTTTGTTTTTAGTAATTCTGTCTAATTTTCTGTAGACTGCAGCATGCATTTTTTTGGGGCAATTTAATGAATAGAATTCTTTTGATTTTCTGTAGGAAGCATTGGAGACCACCTACTCCAGTTTCGAGCAGAAGAAAACCTTAAAACTTCAAGGATCAGAATACTGGGACATCTCCATTGACAGGTCAGAGCTTTCTGTAACAGAAGGATATAAATCTGTGCCATAAGGACTGGGAGAAGGAAAAGCACTTAACTGTTATGTGACTGTAACAGTGACGATGACCATCTGTATAAATAGCGCTACATGTCCAGCTTTTGTGAGGAAACTCCATTTGGTCTTTTCCTTTCTTAATGGAAAGGCATTCCATTGCTGAATTTGTGTCTCTCCACATATGGATGTTTAAGTAGAAATAACCAGATTTCCAATTCTCTGTGCTTCAAAATAAGATAGTGAAATGTGAAACTGGAAGGAATAGGCTCATAATGGCGTAGCATATTAAATGACTTTTATTTCTCTCCACACATGCTAGCTATAAATAAAACAAAAGTCTCTGAAAAATCTGCCTGAGAGCTTTAAATCAGAGAAATATTGGATCTTTGTGTTAGTCCAACTAAGTTGGTAGACACTGGCCTGGCTCCCAGACCAAAGCTCCTGGGGCTCTCTGGCAACAACGCAAAGCCATAAACACCAGATGCAGTATATTTATCGAAATTAAATATCAGCAGTTTTTTTCAGTTGGCATTTTAGAAATGCAGAGTTCATTTAAATGGTACCAGTGGTTTACCTTTGCACCTGAATCACAACTGCTGTATTTCTGAATGTGTTGGTGTGGAATCCTACACAAGCTATTTTCCCTGGCATGCCTGTGCTGCTGTCCCTTATGCGTGTGAGCTACAGAAATCACTCTCCTCCTTGCTTGTTCCCTTCTACCTGCCTGCTGTTTTAACAGAAATGCTGTAAAACATGTGAAAAGTGCTGCTGAGCCGAGGTGTGTGCAGGCAAGCAGAGTACAGGCTTTCTTACTCCTCATGTCCTCAGAATGAAGTGACAGATTGGGAGTTTTAACAAATTATAAATGCCACCAAGACTCTTTCAATATGTGTGATTGAAAGGATCATGTTATTAGCCGTGTCAGTGTCTGCAGAGTAATTTCACAGCTGTGCTTATGGCTTGTGATATCCCAGGACCGTCTCTTCTCAGTGTCAGTTGTGTATAAGTCCCAGATGTTGATTTCACACCTATGGGCTATTTGGGTTTGGTAAACAGTTGTTGTTGCTGGTGAGACTTATTATCATCAAGTACATATCACTGCACTGATTCCATGCATATTTTGGCTATTCAAGTCTTAAGCATAAAGGTGGGGGGGGGAAGAAAGGGCTGTTATTTGCTCCTGTGGATTGAATTTCTTCTTACTGTAGTTGGCATTTAGTTAGAGCCACTCCCTAACTTGTTTTATTTTGTTGATTTGTAGTTTTGTCAAGCGTGTTGGGAAAGTCTCAACGCTCACATGGTCATTAAGTTTTACTGTCTGTGTTGCCAAAGTATTCAAGATTTTTGTGGTACATGAGAAGGTTGCTGAGAATTGATGGATTTTGAGCCAGGTTCTCTCTTCTGTAAAGATCCTTGATGGGCCCTTGAAGAGCCTGGCTAGTGCAGAGAGGCCCCACCTTTCAAAAGATGACTTTGTAATAGCCAGTGAATGTCATGGTTTAACACTGTAAACAGGCTGGGTACCTTTGTTTTTGGTTTTGTCACCAAAGTGATGTTTTTCATTTGTTTAAGGACCTTGTCACACCTGCAAGTCCTGGCAGGACCTGAGACTTACTCAGACTTAAGACTTTCTCTTTTGGTAGGTGTGCTGTGGTACCATGGTGGGGGCTCTCAGAAATTCACAGCAAACAGTGTTTTGTGTGGTGTGGGGCTGGAATAGCTACACTGTTCTTTGTGTGCAGAAATATGCACTGAGAATCCTGCTTTGGTTCTGGAGTCGCTTTCCAGACCTTGCAGGAAGTGTGTGTGGGAGAACCTTTATGGCAGAGGATCTGGTGGCTTCAGCCTTGGTCTCATCTTTGCAAGCTGATCTTTCACGCAGGAATTTTAGCTGTATAAATATCCAAAGTACAATCCAAACTAGTTAGAGAAGCTTCACCTCTATGATGTTTTCCCCCAGAAGGCTTTTCATGGGAAGGAGTAATGTTCCTGCTGAATGTGTCTGTCCTTCTCTACTGATTACTGATAGAGTCTAATTGTTCTGCTAAATCAAGGTGCACAGACGTTTGAAAACTTGACACTTGACAGAGATCTAAGCTCTCCCAGAGGTTGTTTTGTGGATCTGAACTGCTCCAGATGATAGGGCTGTTTGTATTCCCTGGATATCACACCGGATGCTTTACTTGCACTCTGTATAACCCTTGCAAAAGGCTTCCTGGGATGTGGGGTCTGGCAGTTCCAGTGCTTTCTCTTTTTATTGCAGAATCCAAAGATGGCACAGTATTTCAAAAGTCACCTCCAAGGTGACGTGTCAGCGGGATCATAAACCCAGGCAAAGGCAGGATTTATTTTGCTATTGCATACTGATGACAGGTCCCTGTAAGAGCTGTTCTGTATATCCTTTGCAATTAGCTCAAGCCCAAACCCTGAGTGAGTGATGGAGGAAAACATTAGGAATTTGACCCTTTAGGAAAAAAAGCCACAAGGCAGAGAGGACTGTTATTTATTTAAGAAACTGATCTCAGGATTAAAGTTTTCATTTTTAGTTTTTAAATTCCTGTTTGGACAGTTACGTAAGTGCCTAATTTCAAAAGTGTGAGTATGTGACAACTTTTGTGGAACTTAGATGGGAGTGGCAGCAGCGCCCTAAATTGACATAGGGTATTTGGATTCTTTGATATGCATTTGGGTGTCTAAATTTGGATTTCTAAGTAAGAACAACCTCTCCCTCTGCCTTGAAGCTTTGCTGAATGTAAAGGTAAATAAGAGTGTAAAGGTGTGTTCTCGGGTCAGCATCGCCGTGTTTCCTTTGTCTGTTCTTCACGTCCAGGCCAACACTTCATCCCTGTGAGAGCAGAGAATTGTGATAATGACTGGAAATCCCACAAGTCTCACTGCCTAAGATTAAGGCATAGCAGCAGAGTTCTGGTTCAGGACCTTTAGCTTCTGACATCATGAGTTATGCTTTTTGGGGATGTTAGTGCAACACCGCTGCAACCCACGATGTCTCTCTGTTGGGATGTGGATTTGGCTCTGTATTTATTTTTATTCCATAATCTGTTTTGCCATGTTTTCAAACAAAGCAAACTTTGCTCTAGTTCTCATCAAGTAGCAAGAAAAAAGAGTGTAGTGACTCCCTGAAGTTCCAAAGAGTGCTTAATTCTTTTTTTATTACGTTTTCAGTTGTTTAAGGCAGGACCTTCTTATTTGTGGGTACATGTTGCTTACTCATGCCATTGTACCTTAGTCTCAGCTCTGATACTAGTTACTGTTGTAGTATGAATGATCATTTTGAACTCCCCAGTCTGCTGTCTTTGAAATGTAAAATTTCTATTTGCCATTTGAAGATAGGGTTTCTTGTGTAACCAGAATCTATAAAGTGGTGCTTAAGATGGGAGAAAGTCCAAGGGGATTCTTACTATAATGATGTTCTTAAAATCAAGGAATTCCTTTCCTGCTTGCTGCATTGTTTCCATTCATGATGGAGGAGACCAGATTGAAGGATCAAATCCAGCTTGCTTGCTTGTCCTCCCTCTCCCTGAAATGCTTTATTACAGAACTCAATTAAGAGCCAATTTCCCCCTCAGACTCTGTCTACGAGGTCATGCCTGCCCTTATGAAATATTGAATTTGCAGCTGCAGGATTTATGACAACAGTATTTTACAACACACAATGCTGGTGCAGCAGCTCTAATTAGAAATGCCCTGAGTTCACTGTGCAGGCAAAGTGTTGTTTCTAAACTGCAGCATTGACATCAAGAGGCAAATATGGATTGTGTTTTTACATGTTTGAAGGACAAACCTGTGGGAAAAACTGGATTCTGCTGTGAAGGTGCTGCTGCACTGTGCTTTCTTCCTTCTTTAGTTTGAATTAGCTCAGCTTGGGTCAGATTTTTGCCTCTGTAGCATTACTGAGTTTCAGCAGTTTAGTGGAGAGCGAAGACCTGTGCTGAGGTGCTGCAGCTTTGTGTTACAGTGTGACAAATTATGTACTTTGCCATAATAGTCAGTAAGAAGTAATTAAAACAGAAGGTGGACCAATTTCTACATTTCCACAGAATATTCTGAGTTGGAAGGAACCCACAAGGATCATCAACTCCGACTTGTAAGTGACTAGATGATTTCTGTTAATCTAGTTGGTTTTGGTTTTAAAAATTCATGAATATCCACTAGGTCTACTCTGATGTTACCTGCCTCATCTGTGACTTCCCTAAAGTCCTCCATTCAGCCTTCCTTGGGGAAAACCTCTCCTGGTGCTCTGCTGTGTAATTTTGAAATGCAGGCCTGGTATCTAGCCTAAGCCAGTTTTTTCAGTTATTCCTTTACTTCTCATCCTCCCCACCACGCACATGCAGCTACTTAACTGCTGTTTTCTCCAGCAGCTCCCTTTTATTCTGTATTCTATGTTCCCTTATGTGCTCTTCTGTAAGTAAAACAAATCCAGCTGAAGTGGTCCATGTCTGTTTATGCTAGATATTTATCACAGAAAGTCTCCCCTGCTTTCCTTGACAGGAAATCTAACAGGTAGAGACAGGAAAAAAATTAGGAGATGAATACACAAGAAGAGTTCTGCTGTACGGTGCAAATTGCCCGCTGTGGTACCAGACAGCCCTTGTTGATCATATTCTTTCCCTGAATATGAAACATGGCAACCCACTGCACTAGGGCTCAGGATTGATATTGCTGTCCTGCAAGGATAATTGGGAATTTACCAAACCAGAGCAACAGATGCCTTGAGAGACGCAAGTATGATTAACTTCATAAATACGTATTATGAAATCATGGGCAGTGCTCTAACTGTAATGTATTTTCCCTGAGGGAAAATATGCCTGAGTAAAGAAATCAGAAAGCACTTGATGCCAAATGCAGAATGAAAAGAAATTCCTATAAGGCTGGAGTCTATCCACATTTTTTTCCTAGTGGTCTTTTCCTTTGGAGAATTAGATGAGGATTTATTTCTCTTCATTTTATTGTCCTCTAATCTCCAAAATCTACATCACTTTGCTAAAACACACTGACGTGTATCACGTGCATATATAACATTCCCTAGGAGACTTGTTACTGCTTTATAGTCACTGCAGGTGAATTTGTTTATAAGAAGGCAAGCACCTATTTGAGACAGCATGAATGTAAGTCAGTATTTGCTTCAGTGCTGAAAGAGGATTTCTGAGCTTTTTGTAGTATAAAGGAGATGATTTTTTTCCTACAAAGCTGTGAGAACAAGGAATCCTGGAGGTGGATTCAATCAGTCCTCATAAAGACTGTTTATAATGAAGTTTCACTTGTCAGACATGGAGGGCCTTTAACGTCACATCTGGGCTATCTGCTTGAGTTTGCAAGTTAGTCTTAAAGCTGTTGGTACTTCCCATATGACATTCAGCTTTGCCTCAAGGAATCTTAATTTCAGAGCCACTGAAAAAACTTGCTAGAGAGTCCCTTCTTGTCAGTCTGTCCTGGCAGAAGGTGATGTGTTGAGTTATTCCTGAATCCTGCTGACCCTTGCTTGCAGGAGCATCTGTTGGCAGCAGATATCACGTAGAAGATCTCACGGATTTCCCTGGCTTGCACGGGCATCGGAGCCTGGGATCTGGCAGCCATAGGTTAGAGGTACACAAAGCTGTCTAAAAACTGCCTTGTGCCCAGGGAGAGAGTATGCTGGCCTCAGAGCCTGGACTGACAGCACTTTATTCCAGCCATTATGTCCCAAAATCTCAGTCTCACAAAGGTGGAGTCAGTTGAAAAAAAAACCCTGTCCTTCTGTTATTTCCATTCTGATCTCAATATTTCTTTACTATGCAACAGTGAACTTCTACTGGTAAATATCTTGGAGCACTTTTTCTTCTGTGTGCCTTTCAAAGCAGAGAGAAGGACAAGTGCCAAGTTAAACTGAGCTTCAGAAAGCCACATTGCTTGAGAGAAAAAGCTCATCAGCTACAGTATCCAGTACGATGGGTAAAAATCTTGGGGCTGAATTGTTTCCTCTGAGAGTAGACAACTAGTGTAGCCCTATTTTCAGTCCTGTGTGCAGTCAGGGTCCTGACAGCACTGGGCACTCAGCTGCAGTGGATTAAAGATATGGTTTGGGTTGTTTTGGGTTAGGAAGGGCTTTAACGTTTCACATGAAACAAGCCGTGTAACTTCACTAGGCACTTCTGCAGTGAACTTTATAGCACCTAATGGAATGAGAGCTTGTTTCTTGTCCACTCTTAATTTGACTGGGTCCAGCGTGTGCTTAAGAGCTTTGCTGAGTTTAGGCTGAGAAATACTTTTCATGTAGGAATACTGCAGAAAGGATAATGATCACAAGAGTCTGGGTGGCAGCAAAGGCTTCAGCCTGCTCCCTTTGAGCCTCAGCTTGTCTCACTTTGAAATTAATAAAATGTCATGATGTAGACTTCAGTTGAAGTAGCATTTTTCATCAGATTTCTTTACTAGGGTTTTGTCCCCGACCTGTGTTCCTTTTTACCTACATGTAAGTGTCTTTCTGGTCTTGGACACTTCAGAGAAATTGTAATTTAAAAATCCTTTTTAACTACACCTGAATTTGCAGTCAGAACTTTTATCAAATTTAAGTATTATTTGATTTGTAAGTGTTGGCTGATATTTGGTCTGATTAATTTCATGCACTGGTTTCTGGAAACTGCAATACTCCATTGCACAGGCAAATATTGGCAAGTGATCCAAATGCTTTGGAGCTCCTAAGTAGAGAAGCATTAAAAAGAGCTGGCTTTTCAGGGTGCCTCCACCTTCTGAAATGTCTCTGCAGCTATTAAATTGATAGAAATACAGTTTCTCAAATAGTATGTAGAGTTGAGAGTTTCTGACATATTAGAATGTCTCTAAAACTCGAGATTGATACATATATAACATCCCTAAGAAATCTATGTCTTGTCTGTTTTTCCAGGTATCTTTCAGGAGATGCCTTATCATGTATCTGTCATAAAGCCAAAGTAGGAGCAACTGTTCATTCTAAGGTAAATTTCTGATCCTGCTGAGAGCAAGAGAAGTTTGGTTGGTGGGAGCCAGGTATTTGGCTGGTTTCTTTCAACTGTTATCTGCAACATGATTCTCATTGTGTTTTTTGACTATATTGCTGAGCTTCCTCAGTAAGAGATTGTAATTTGTACAGCTGGAGCTGGAATGAGCCTTTTGTCACCAGTTGTGGTTACCATTTCTGTCTGTTCTTCATCACTTCAGACACTAATAGTCAGTGTATACTCAGTGGATCCAAAGGGTGTTCACTCTTGTTGTAGTGATATAGTTTAGTGGTTAGTGTGCAGGACAAGAAGAATACTGTCTTCAACACACACAATTGTTTGTGATTAGCATTTTGTGTGGTAAAGAGGGGATGAGTTGAAAACCTCATCCTGAAATATAAGTGTATACAGTGTCTAGGTGGCTCTTCAACTCAGTCCAATAAAACAGAGTTTATCACCTGTCTGATAATTTTAGCAGAAATTATTCAAGAATATTGTTTGTTTTATATAGCCGTGCAACTCTCCGCTCTTACCACTGTAGGTATTGGATATAGATGTAGGCTTGTTGATTTGTGCAGCTGAATATTTCATTGCCAGAATATTTCATTGCCAGAGTTCAAAGACTCTTACAGAGTGCTCTGTAAGATTCCTCCACTAAAAATTCAGAGTAACTTCACTGATTAAAAATAAAATTGCAGCTGCATTTGGCCTGAAGGGTTTTCATTTCTAACTACATGACTTTTCTCAGTTGGGCATTTTAGAACTGTAAGGCTCATTCCACAATGATCTTGGCCTTCTAAATGGTGGATATAATTTGGGTCCCTCTGCAGTAACAGCTGTTTGAAGATGAATTCAATGTTCTTGTCAGGAGTTCAGTTACTTTGTTGGTTAGTGCATTTAGAAAGCTGCTGTCAGTCTAACTGATTCAATTCCACAGCGTTTCTTGATTTTTTTTTCCCCCAGTGCTGGTCCAACTATTTTATTCCTGCATATTGTGTAGTATCTCAGCATAGACAGCAACCTCCATAATAGCTATTTTTTTCCTGCCTTTTTCTAACCCCAGTCATACTCCAGTGTGAATACTGATTGCAAAGACTTTGTTTGGCTTGGTTACAACCCCCCTATTTGATTGCTTCCTCTGCTTGCTGGGTCCATCAGAGACCTACTCTTTCTCTAGACAGCTCTCTCCTGATACACTTCAGGCAATTTTTATTATTTCTTCTGGCAATTTATTGTCCTGGGTTTTACTTTTTTATAGCTTTTTCATTTTTCCTGTCAAAGTCCATTCCATGTATTAAAGACAGATAAACTGGATTTCCAGAGCCTGAAATACTGTTTTGGCCCTAAAACTCACCCTTTGTCACACCACTGGAAATTACTGCAACTTTTCTGTATCTTTACTTTAAAGACCCCGTTGAACTCAGGCAGACATGTGTGGCATTTTTCTAGCAGGAGAATATTTATTTAATCCCTGTATAGAGAAGCAGAGAGCGAAATCCTAAATCCATTCAAATCAGTGGGGCTTTTCCTGGCCTCCAGCTGAATCATGGCTTAATGATCAGCTTCATGGTCTGTAGTCAGCCTCCCAGAAAAAGTAAAAAGAAAGCACAAAGCAGGATTTTCACTCCCATATTCTGGGATTACAGGTTGAGCTGAGGGACAGTGTGTTACAGCAAGAGGTGATGGACTTGAAGGACCAAGTTTTCTTCTGGTTCTTTCACCAGTCTCCTAAAAGATACTTTAAAATTTATGTTTTAGCATTTGCCTGCTGTAAAATAAGAAAGTTTCTTGGCAGCACAGTACAGTTTGAATGCATAGTTTTGCTGGTGTCTTGCAGTTGTATTTGAGGTTCTGGACACGCATGCCTGTCTCGGACATGCAAAGCACATAAAGCAACAAATAAGCTTAAGATGTGCATTTATTCAGGTGCTTAAATGTGTTGCCTGGATTGGGCCTTAATTTATTCCCTGTGAATTGTGGTGGTTTGTCCCAGTGAAAGTCATCTGGTTTGATGACAAGCCTGGCTTATTCTCCCAGTACTGAAATAAGGTAGGTTAAATAGGTTTCCCCCTATTTCCTGTCCCTTACTGAAGAGCAGCTTGAACAGTGAAAACTGTCAGGAGTGCTTATTCAAAAGCAGCAACGTTGGAAGCTGAAGATAAGAGCATTTATCTCTGTGTCAAAACTACTCAGTGTCTTTGATGGCCTCCCAACACACCGTAACAAGGAGCTTAGGCTGGAGACGCTGGAATGCCAGGAGTCCAGGGGGTGGTGTTTATCCTGCTGAAACATGGAATACATCAAATCAATTACACGGTGCTAAAGTATTTCCCCATCACCAGCCAGTGTTGTGAGCTCCAAGAAAATATGTTCTCCTAGGCACTAGGGGAGCCTCCTCTTCGAGATGCTGACTTAATTTGAAATGCGTATTAACAGGGAGAGAGAGAAAAAGAGGGAGAGAAGATGGAATCTCATATGTTCTGCAGCAGATTGCCACATCGATCTTGTCACTTGGCAAACACAGTTGGACCTGAGGCTCTGAGTCTGTGGGATGTGCTGTATTTCTGTCATCAATTGTCAGCCTCAGAGAAGCACAGGAGAAAGAGAGGCATGGTATCAGAGTAGAAAATCTGTAATAAAGGGACCAGCAAGCCATTTAGAAGCAAATCAAAGCAATTGCATTTTTGGATTGTGCTTGCCTTCGTCAGCTAGAAATGTGGTCTGTCCTCATCTCCTCTCCCAGTGAAGCGATGATGGGAAGGACTAGTATTTCTATGGAGGCTGCACCTGTCTGTGCTGTTTGGTGGGAGTTAAGCTGTTCTACATGGGTAATGGTACCTGCAGGTCCCAGAGGAGCCTTCAGCCTGCCCTGTGCCCACTCTGGTTCCACTCGTGCTGTAGCCACAGCCCTCTCTTGAGCCGTCTCTGGGACAGCTCCTCCATGTGGATTTCTCCTCTGAGCTTGTACCTGAAACCTGCAACCCATTGCTGATGGCCAGTTTGGGAGCTGACAGGATTGCACTTAGGTTCTGCAGGGACCTAGTCCTGGATCAGAAACTTCCCTGAAATAGTTCTGTCCACCAGGAATGTGGCTTAAAACCTGGCTTTGTTTAAAGGACTGCCCTGGAGGCATTGCACTGCTGGTGGGGCCCACAGCCAGACAGTTGGAACGGCATCCCCCAGAACGTTCAGTCCAACAGATACACTGGCAAATTGGTCCGAATGAACAGCAGGCCTTGGGCATCCCTCTGCCTGGATGTTTGTACCATGCTCTCTGGGATGATGTCAGTGCCTTGGGATGTGTTTCTCCCGAGCAGAGCAAAAACACTAGAGAGCGCCATGTATTTGCAGATTTTGGCTTGTGAAGTGCAGTCTGAGGATGTGAGTGCTCCCTGAGGGGGGGGATGTAGGGAGAGCCGTGCTCAGGACCCAGCCTGGGCTCACTGCTGTGTGCTACTCGGGAAGACTTGGGTATGGGGAGGTGATTTCCCTCTGGATATGGGCAGCTGCAGGTGCAGTGTGGCTTTGTACTTTGTCTCTGGGGGAGAAAAGGCAGTTTGGCTGTCGGGAGGAAATCTCCTTGGTCTCATTGCTAGTAGAGGAGAAGGATTTGAACCAGCAGACCTTCCCAGCCTTCTGTTCCAACCCTCTGTCACATCACCTTGAACATAGCAACCAAGAGAGGGGCCTGTCCAGTGACCTCCCATCTGAAGGAAATTCTCAGCACAGACCAGGATTAAATGTCTCAGGAGGTGCCAGTGAGGAGCTTCGTAGAAGGATTGACTTTGTTTTTGAGCTCCCACTTTCTAGTCCTCCTGAAGAAAACTTTTGATTTTCAAGTACTTCAATACATAAATGATGTTGAATATTTTAGTGCATTTGAATGGCTGAGTCATTTCTTTGAAAGCAGGCTGGATCAGATTATTTTGCTGTTTCTTATTCCCAGTGATGCAAAAGGCATAGACTCCATGTGGGCTTCATGTGGGCGCTACCCTCTTCTTCCTTGTGGGAGGGTGAGAAGCTCATGACCATTTCAGCAGTACTGGAGAATAACTGTCTTGGCTGTTACAGTATGCACTGTCCTGTATCTTCTCCCATTATCCAAGGCCTCCTGAAGCTCCCCTCTACCCTAACTTGGTGAGGAAGCAGTCTACCTGGCATCATGCTCCTCTTAATCACTGATCATGTGATGGTGATGACTAAACTTTCATTATAATGAGCTGGCTTTTTTTCCTCCCCAGTGAAATATTTCCTACAGAAAAATGAGGCTTCACGGAAACCTGACTTATCTTTCAGAAGATGCCCATCTCTGTGTGTTCAGAAGTATTTTTTCAAAGAAAAACTTAAGAGTTATTTTTTTAAGGAAGGTAATATGTAGATATTTCAGAATTTTAAGTTGGCTGTTTTTCTCCTCCTTTTCTTGTGCTACTTAGTCTAAGAGGCTCAACAAAGTCTAGCTGTTATTTTTCCTATCTTGTATTTTTTATTGTTTTGTGGATGTTTTTCTATCTTGACATTTCTGAAAACATTTCACATTGGGAAAGCTCAAAAATAGTAAAAAAAAGAAGGTAGAAAAGGAAAAAAGGTGGTAGTGAAAAGATGTTTTGGAGGAAATGTTATTATTGCAGTTGCCAGCAGGAGGAAAAAGGAGAGGGAATACATTCCTCCCTCCCAGTCAAGATTCTTAATGATGTAGATGTTTAGATGTTTAATTGAGGAAAAAATTGAGTTTTGGCATGTCTGAATGGATACAATTTATCCTGTCCTGTTTTGACCTTCCTCAGTTCTCCCTGGCATTACTGCTGGTCCTCTCTGCCCTTTAGGCTGTGTCAGGAACATGTGGAAACAGCAGATAAGACGGAGCCCTGGGGCAGAGCTGGACCTTGGGAGCAGTGCTGGAGGGCAGGAGGCATCTGTGTGCTTTGGAGGAACTCTGGACATGAAAAGCTGCTGTGTCCTGAGAAGAGCTTCTATCCAGGGAGAAGCCATCCAAGGGG